TGGGCTTTGGGCCTTCATTATTATCAAATGTTTATGTGGGCCTTTGTTGTGTGCTCATATTCCCCGCCTTCCGCCGCAAATAGGAGTCAAATCCCTCAAAGCTCCACATAGCCAGCTAATTGAAACGACCAAATGACAAATTTTTGTACAATATTGAGAAATGCAATATTTCATTTTGTATAATTTTGAAGATATTATTATAAAATACACTTAGTTAAAAGTCGGTTGTTCATAATTTTTAAATAGATGCTTATCACTAAAAAAATCAAATTTTATACATCATATTTTGTGTATTGCAAAGGGAAAGTGTTCATTTATTTCTCAATAGACATTCATGACTTCAAAAACAATTTTTCATACATTAAAAAATAATTTTCATCTATCTTAGAAAATATGTTTAAGCATTACAAAACAAATTGGTCATATGTATGAAAATAAACATTCATGACCTAAAAAATAAAAAAATCATGTACGCAACATAAGTATTGATGTATTTCTTTTAAAAGGAAATAAAAATATTGAAAAAGGCCAAAACTTAACAAAAATATGAGTAGAAATAAAAGAAAATTTAAAGAAACAAAAATGAAGCCCGGACCCATGGCACTCTTTAGTGGCCTGCACATTACCCGTACTTCAGTGAAATGCCCCCCATATCCTTCACCAAAACGAGCAACAAGCTTCATGTCTACTTTCCCCCTAAAAAACGCTAATGTGCTCGGTTGCTAGTATAGTAATGTTATGTTACACCTAAAATTCCCGATTATAATCAAGGAAATATGTGGTAATGTACCTTGAGATGGTATGATGCTAATATTGCATAACTCAGCCACCAAAAGGTAACCAAAATTTTCAAGTATTGCCAGCATCATCATCAATACAATTCGTATTTACCACACCCAAAGTTCAAAGTCAAAATCTGATCTAAACTTAAAAATGCAAAACAGAAACACCATTGTAAATAGACCAAACAAACTATGAGGCTTAGGCTCTAATTGGATCGGGTGTAATTATTGTGTGTTCTCCAGTAGCTCAACAAGTACACATGATCAAGACATACCCATTCTAACAACAACAACAACAACAACAACAACAACAACAACAACAACAACAACAAAACCAACATTTGATGTGTTTCTTAAAAATAAAGAATTGATTATCTTTCACATCGGCATCCAGATGATCCACCCAACCGTAATTCATTGCATTTGAAGTGCAAGATGCGTACACTATCCAAATAGCAGTGATTTTGTTACCACACAGCGGTGATTTTCCATGACTTAATTATACTCCGTATGTCGGAAGCACGGTAGCATTCAGATATGGCAGCGACTGATATTTTTTTGTTCTGATTTTCTTGAGCTGAACCAATTTTTTTTTGAATTGGTTGAGCTGAGTCAGCACCTCCGACAAGTACCCGTACCGAAGAGCCACACGAGTACACGACAAGATTACAAGAAACAGCTTACAAAGCTTCTGAATTTATCTTATCTGACGGAGTGACGGGTGCGCAAATGGAGGTGCCGTTTGCTGAATCCTCTCAACAAGGAATAAACCCATTTTTATATGCAGTCAGAGAGGTCAGCCCGGTGAATCGTCCTCACGTCTTCGCGGGGTTAGCTCACCAGTTGGATCATCGGCCGATTCGTCGCAAATGCGCACGTGTGACATGCTCTGCTGGGTAAGTTGCAGATGGCGCCAAGCCTCAATCTCCGTCAGGTTCAACGAATGTGCCAGCTCGGATCACTTGGGCGTGTGCTAGAAATATAATTAAGCTTCCAATCTTATCTGAAACCGAAGAGGAAGTTTCCTTCGGGTTGTTCGTTTACCATAGCACGCAATGTGTGCTCATGCATCGTGGGGTGTCTTGGCACAGGGGGCAGTAACAGTGCCATCTTCAGATGAAAACGGTATTCTTGGCAGTATTCGCAGCACCCTTGCCCGCTGACAAATTGTATGGGGAACTCTTACCAGAGTATGTTCAACTTGTTATTTCCTTGACAAAACAACCACGACTCTTTTCTTTTTTCCATAGAAACAACACATACGTTTACACACACACACACGCAAGCACACTCACATTAGGAATGTACACATGCACACCCATTTTACTCCTATGAGCACCTTCGATAGATTGCGTTTACAGATTTTGAGATTGTTGAAGTCGTTGCAGACACCTTGTAGTTGATGGGTATGCCTTGTACCAGTGAAAGAATATCGCTGGAGCAATCTGTATTAAACCCTTGCCCGTCCCGGCGCCCTTGCCGTCCTTTTCATGGAAATATCGATCGAAGACGCAGTAGGGACAGCCCGGTTCTGCTCTCCGTAGAGGACGCGCGTGTTCCTCCGCTGCCGCTTCTTTGCAATGCGGGCGGGGATGGCTCCCTCCTATGCGGCTGCTTGCGCCGCTGCATCAGCCACCTCCGCCGCCGCCATGTTGGCAGGGAGGCGGGCCTTCGCGGCCCTTGTCCTTTCCTTCCCACGGCGGGCACACCGGTCCAAGTGGGACTCATACTCCGCTGGACCGGTGATGGAGAAGTGGAGATTTGAAGGCTCCAGGGACTGCGAGGATCCGACCGCACGTTGCGCCGACGCTATGGAGTCACGCTGGACAGATCCTGCCGTCGGTTGGGCGTTGTCCTTCAGGGAGTGACGGAGTGCAATGTGGACGACCATTGCCTCCTCCAACCCGCACGGTATGACACCCCAATCGACAGATCCGGACTAGTCAGAGTCAGATTAGCTGGCCGCCAAGCTGGAGAAGGCCGGAGATCGTCGGGAGCTTGGGTGGCGGAGAGGAGTTGAGTGGAGTGGAGTGAAGTGGCTAGGGTTTGGTCCGACAACCGGATGAGGAGGAACATATGTGAAATCGGGTGGGCCAGCGTGAACCAGATCCGACGTGACTGGCGCGCTCGGGCGCCCCATATCCGCCCATACTTGTGTTGAATACGAGGGGTGTCGGTCAGGCCGGGCGTTTGAGACCCGTTTTGAGGCGCCTCTCTGGGTTGAATTTTCGTGACCGGTCAGTGACCAGGTTTGGGGCGCCGGGCTGTAGATGCTCTTAGCTACCTCATAGCATGATTTTGTCTTTCGCAAGTTATTAGGCCATGACGTTTAAGACATCACTTGAGTAACCTTTTGGTTTAGTGTATCTTTGCAGGATTGCAAAATGCTGAGAACCGGAGGATGGTCCTTCCATCATCTAAGCAAATCCTAGATAAAACTAATCTATGAGATGCTAGATCCTAGTGTATTTTTTTTCCTTCTATTTTTCTTTTCCTTCTGGGAGCTAGAAATGAGGTGCCAGTGTCACCTCATTTCACCTCTAAAGCAACGTTCGGTTCTACTAACTAAAACAAACAGAAGTTATTAGTAGATGTTGGTGTATTTGTTTCTTCCATTTTCATTTTGCTTTTGGGAGGAGTAGATATGAACTGCTGGTGCCCCCTTGCCTTGCCTCACTGCTTCCGTTTTCCTTGCACGCTGATTGGCTACTGGCCACATAACGGCTGCTACGCTCCCCACTTGAATTTGTTTGAGGAATTTAGACCATCTGCCTACGGGGAGCTGGTAACCACGCCGACAGCCTCCCGCGGAGATCTTGGCCTTACGTGTTTGACATGGCCTTTTGTTCAGGTGCATCCATCACACACGCTCCTGCTTGCATATGCATCTCCTGAGTTTTGACTTGTCTGGCATGGCAGGATGGATCGATGCCCGGCTAGATCTCCTCCTACAGCTGCAGGTTCATTCTTAATGCTCACTAGATCTCCCTCCCTGAAAAGGACCGACATGACTATCTCCTGAGAAGAGTGGACAACCTGCACTACTACCGCTCCTTATCATGTGATCAGAAGTCCAGACAGCAGCAGCTGATTTTGTTCGCTTCAGAGAGTAGACTTTTTTTTTCAAAGTCTAGTTCAGACTTGACTATGATCGATGGCACTGTACTACTGTACGGCGCCCTGCTGCATCCCCTGGATCTGAATCGGGCAAAAGGGGTGTGCACATAAACAGAATACTGATTCGTTAGACAAGAACAAACGCTATCGTTTTACCCCCTTGTCACTGAACTGAAAAGGACGTGCACATACATATCTACAGAAAGAAGTGAGGAAAGGGGTATGTGCGATGGACTTGTCAACTGCCGACTGCCGACGGCGACAACAGTAGGCGCCATTTCTTCACCTTCTCCTCCACCCGGAATTTACCAAAACAAGGATGAAAAGGCGCAGGTTCAGTTGGAAGAACTCTTTTCTTTCAGCTGCAAAGTCGATGGCGATCGATGGACACTGCATACTGAAAGTGAAAACCAACTTCAACTCTGCGCCATCTCTTTTTGTGGGAGGTTGTCACCATCTTTTTCTTTGCCATCTTTTAACTCAACCAATCCTTCCATCCTTTAGGCAGTCGGCGGTTGCCGGACGTAAAAAAGTCTTTGACATGGTATCACCAGTCAGGCAGTCACAGTAGCACAGTAACAAAAGGTCTTCTGCTTGAAGCGGTTGTCTGCCACTGCCATGGGATGGGAGCGACGGCCAAGAACACGCAAATGATCTACCGGTTGGTCGTCCGGTGTTTGTCAGAGGTCACAAGACAGTGTTAGTTCGGCAGTTTTGGATTAGCCCTCTGGCTGAGGATAGCGCATTTCTGGCTTGTCGTGTCCTTGGATCACGATAGATCACCCCCGTCGCCGTATTGGCGGTCGCCGTCGGTTTTATCTGAAGTTTCTGAGAGCTAAGCAGACGGCCGGATAGATCGACGCGATGAACCATGGACCATGAATCTGAGTATCTGGCCGTCGTATCACCTGGTAGGCAGTTACTGTTTGACCGAGACCTGGGAGATAGGGAATATCCAGAGTAGCAATGAATAATCACCCACCGGCGCCATTTTTTATTTTCTGTGACATACGACTGGTTCAAAAGAATTTGCATCATCCCACAGTGGGCATCGCCGTTGCGTCAGGATCACTTTCGTGGTGACATGCTCACAAGGGGGCCATGGCTAGCGAGATCTCTTCCTCTATTAATACTGGCCCCTGCCCCTGCCCCGGCCCCATCGTGTTCGGTCGTGTACTTCTCCTCTATCTATCCAATCTTTTTCCTGTCTGTTTCAAGAGCTCTGGGAGGGCGAAAATGAGCAGCTCGATGAGCATGGTGGAGGCGAGGCTGCCGCCGGGGTTCCGGTTCCACCCGCGGGACCACGAGCTCGTGCTGGACTACCTCTGCCACAAGCTCTCCGGCGGTGGTGGCCGCGGCGGTGGCGGCGTGGACATGGTCGACGTCGATCTCAACAAGTGCGAGCCATGGGAGCTTCCAGGTACGATCTGTCATCCCTTCCATCATGCACCCAGCCAGCAGAAGGAAACATTTTTCAGTTTTGAATGGCAAAAAAGGAAAGAAATCACCTGGAAAAAGATGATAATGGCTTCGCCCGGGTTCGAACCGGAGACCTTCAGTGTGTTAGACTGACGTGATAACCAACTACACCACGAAACCCTGGTGCTACATGCACGATTAGAGCATATTCATATCGGAAAACAGTAAAGTAGAACCATCATGTTCAGTTCAATGATGATGATTTATTTTCTTGAAAATATAATACTGGTAATGTTAGTCATCCTAGAATCCTTATATTCGGTTCATGAATTAGATTTTATTTTCTTTTGCAATTCACACAACTTCATCAACCTAGAATCATTATATGCAGTTCAATACTGTTGATTTATTTTCTTGCAAAGAGAATACGGCCAATGTTAGTCATCCTAGAATCCTTATATTCAGTTCATTAATTAGCTTTTTTTGCAATTAGCACAACTTCATTAACCTAGAATCATCATATGCAGTTCAATACTGCTGATTTTAGTCATCCTGCTCGTCGTCTCTTACCCATTGTTGCATGCACGCAGACGCGGCGTGCGTGGGCGGCAAGGAGTGGTACTTCTTCAGCCGGCACGACCGCAAGTACGCGACGGGGCAGCGCACCAACCGCGCCACGCACACCGGCTACTGGAAGGCCACGGGCAAGGACCGCGTCATCACCGGCGACGGCGCGGCGGCGGTCGTCGGGATGCGCAAGACGCTCGTCTTCTACCTGGGGAGAGCCCCCCGGGGAACCAAGACAGAGTGGGTCATGCACGAGTTCCGCGTCGAGGGACGCCCGCCGCGCTCGGTTCACCGCCAGCTCGCCACCCCCCACGACGGCTCGCCGCCGTTTCTCCTCGAGGTACGTGTCCCACTTCTACACTTCATGCACGCCACACGTTCCGATGACCGTCGCGGATCGACGGCTCGCATGCGTTGCATGTTTGCATGAATTAGGAGTTTGCTTGCCACTGCCAGCGTGTGCTATTATAAATTAGTTTTACAGTTGATTATGCACGGAGGAGTCAGACAGTAATAGTACTCGTTGATTATGTTTTCCAGTTATAACAAGAAATGGAATCCGGCTCCCCTTTGGGAGGGAGGCGTATAGAGAAAATGTACCCACTGATTGGGCGTAGCCTTTTTGTATTGTTTCACTCCCGGCCGTTCGTGCAGAGGAAGGTGGCTTATTCGTCTGCTGCATATAGTTGAACATTGCTAATTTTGACCGCCAGACAAAATATTTCTTTGGTATTCTGTCTAGCTGTACGTACGATTCGGTACGTGCTGCGTCGATCCCGATAAGATAAAATACGTATACTTACGACGACTATACATGCCACTAGGCAATCATTGTTGGTGACCTAGTCTAGCTTATCGAAATGCAAACATGGTACACACATAGTATGGCATATCACCAATGTCGTTCCAAGGTTTGGTGAAGGCAACGTCCAAGGTCGTTCGCTTGGCGCCGTCGCCATGCATCAGCGCGGCATTAAACAACGTGATACTGCTTTGAAAAGGATCTGACCGTCTCATTATCGTTTTTTCCAATTTTGACTTCCTTTTTTCTGTCAGAGGTGAAGCTCAAGTTGACAAAAAATATTTTGACAATGGCATCCCAAGTTGCCAATTTCTTTTGTTATGGAAAATTCTAGCAGCCTGTTGGCTGGTAAGAACATGTGGCTATCATGACTCCTTAAGGTCACAACCGAACAATTTTCTCGCAAAAAAGAAGATTAGTTTATACTTCCTCCATCCAAAACAAGTGTTGCAGATTTAGTAGTACAATACTCCCTCCGTTCAGAAAAACTTGTCCATCAAATGGATGTATCTAGCACCAAGTTAGTGCTAAATACATCCATTTGATGGACAAGCTTGGGACAAGCTTTTCCGGACGGAGGGAGTACTATTTATGAAAAGAGGTAGTAGTATCTTATTATTATCCTATTTTTCAAGGTCGTCAGGCAATAGGCACCAGCTTGAATCATCAAGTGTCCATCAAATCCAATTATCTAGAGAGAACACAAGTGCTAAAATGGAAATATTGCAAAACGCAGGAGGACTGGGTGCTGTGCAGGGTGTTCTACAAAAGCACAACCGCCGCCCCAACACCGGCCTCCGACGAGTCGTCAGGTTCCTTGAGCAGCGACCTTGGCGTGGCGCCGGTGCTGCTGCCCGTAGCACCTATCAATGTCGTTGGCCGGACGCAGATGGCCGAGATCACGGACGGCTACTATGGGCAGCAAGAGCACCCCACTGGCATCCTTCCGGTTGTGCACCACTGGCCCGTGGCGTCATTGCCGTTCACGAGCTTCAGGGACCTGCTAGGCGACATGGTGGAAGGGAGCCGCGGTGACCCGAAGCCCGAGTGGAGCGTCGACGACGGCTACACGCGTCAGAGCGTGCCACAGACCTGGAACCCGTTCTGACTTTTGAGTCGGTGGGTTTTCGCAGGGTAGATGGTAAGGGTAGTAAGAGTATACGTTGTGCCGTCCACCCGGTCGTCATATGTTTGATCAGTGAGCAATTTGTTTTGTCCATTTCTGTAGTAGTGCGGTTGTATGGCTTTTATTAGCCCTAGTGCAGTAGTTAAGAATTGTAAATTGGATAAATGGCATGTTGCAATTCAGTAAATATATTGTATTTTAGATATTATTTCATTTTTAAAATAGGGTGTAAATTACTTAATTATGAAGTTTGTTGTAAAATCATTTCTCCTCAATAGCACTCCTTGGTTAGATTGCCTATGCTTGCAACACCCAAATGCTTTTGTAGCCCCAGCCTCCAACACTTCCTACCTTTGCAAAACCATCAACCACCATATGCCTACCCTGCAAAATATAACCTTTGTATTTACCAACAATGGTACTTCAACCTATTGCTAGGACACTTGGCTCACTACAAGACCACTAGCTATCACATTCCCTATCCTTTCTCCCGCTCCGAGGTTCCCATGATTAGGGTGCAAATATTGTGCATTTCGGTTTGGAAGCTAACCTGCGGAATCGTTTAATCTTTACCGCCTCGCATGATTTGGTTTATCTTTTGGTTATGTTGGAGGACTTCATTCATTGTCGGACCAGGATCAACGCTTTCTATTAGGGGATTAGGGGGCAAGGATTTCTCCACAGG